AATATCACAGCAGGGGAAACCAGTAAGCGGCTTCACACACAGTACCCAGTTTAGGAATCGAACCCAGGACTTCGGCTTGACGAGTGAACGCTTCAACCACAAGGCTACCTCACCAGCCTGATTTGACAATGAGGATGGAATGTCGGTGACCTAGTCTGTTCATGAGAGGATACCATGTATTGTTGCACTGAAGCTGATCAAGTCGGAATCAAAGTGGTTCAATAACCCCTGGTATCAAATCCAAATAACTACCCTTCACCATCCTGTCAATAAATGAAACAAACTGAAAGTACACTATGAATTTTATTTATCAAAAACATAATACACTGCCTAATTACACAAGGAATCCCACTGGGGCAGTTGCAACCTGATTATCTTGTGATTTTGTGCTTTTATGCTTCAAAATACTGCATCGGCTTGTTTGATAAAGACTGATTAATGACACATCCTGCTCACTTAGATTTCTGTCTAACACCTGGAAACGGAGGCCTGACAATGTACAGGCAGCATAGAAAATAGCACTTAAGGTTATCTTGTGCATCTATTGTGTTCACCAACATTTTAAACAGCACTGATCATTGCAGCAAATATTCTTCACAGGATGATAAACCCTCCAAGTACAATATTTTTAGAAACGTTATGCCATGAATTCTGTAATCGATCTGTATGTCACAGATCACAGGGACAACCATTGCATGATTTAGCACATCTTCAAATGTAATTAATTGGGGACAGTGGAACACCTATCCTGTGCAAATCCAGGTATTTACCATGGTCACACACGGGCGGAAGCTTCACTGCAAATTTCAATATGCTGAAATACACCTCAATATGTTGATGATAATCCCTATGCAACAACCAATACTGGAACTGTTGCAAGTTGCCGACATCCTGACAAAACAAGTGTTCCCAATAAATACAGCATAGACAATGTTACACATCTGCTAGCAAGCATGATCCATTACAATCTCGCGTACAATTACAATCTCACAAATTTACATTCTCATGTACAATAACAATCACGTAGTGATGCAGTTTTAACTATTACAGAACTGTCCAGTGTACATAAGCAACCTTCACAAGCATACAGACTACATCTAAATCTAAATTCATATACAGCAGCGTCAGACTCCATAGCACCGACAATGTAGCGAGATTAAATGTTGACCCATACATGTATAGAGCAATATTTCAGCCAGACAATGAAAACTGGTCATTTTCAATAGGTCAATAGTTTACAGTTTGGTCCATCATCAGTTGGATGAGGGGCGTCGAGGGATGTGCATTCACGCCTGTATACTTGTACTAGTACGACCTTACATGGCTAGTCAACAGATACATTGGATATCCCACCCTCTATACAGAGTACGCTGTTAACTCAGTGAGCCTGCCCTTGTCTAGGGACATAAATCAACATGTGTATACTGGCACAAGTCTATTTTACATGGCTTGCCCAGATACAATCCCCTCACTGAGTGTGCTGTTGACTCCCAGCCAATCTGGCCTTGTCTAGGGACGTACATCAATGTGTGTATACTGGCACAAGTCTATTTTACATGGCTTGCCCAGATACAATCCCCTCACTGAGTGTGGTGTTGTTTCCCAGCCAATCAGGCCTTGTCTAGGGATGTACATCAACATGTGTATACTGGCACAAGTCTATTTTACATGGCTTGCCCAGATACAATCCCCTCAAGGAGTGTGCTGTTGACTCCCAGCCAATCTGGCCTTGTCTAGGGACGTACATCAACATGTGTATACTGGCACAAGTCTATTTTACATGGCTTGCCCAGATACAATCCCCTCACTGAGTGTACTGTTGACTCCCAGCCAATCTGGCCTTGTCTAGGGACGTACATCAACATGTGTATACTGGCACAAGTCTATTTTACATGGCTTGCCCAGATACAATCCCCTCACTGAGTGTGCTGTTGACTCCCAGCCAATCTGGCCTTGTCTAGGGACGTACATCAACATGTGTATACTGGCACAAGTCTATTTTACATGGCTTGCCCAGATACAATCCCCTCACTGAGTGTGCTGTTGACTCCCAGCCAATCAGGCCTTGTCTAGGGATGTGCAACATGTCTGTGTACTAGTACCAGTCTAATTTGTATTTGTATTTGGCTCGCAGATACAATCCCCTCACATTTGACTCCAAGCCAATCAGTCTTTGTCTAACCCCTATAATGCCCAGATACAGTAACCCGTATCGTATATTAAATGTGTCTGCTCTCTGGACAGGCGTTATGGACCACACTACGGAGGTGGCAATATTCTAGTATACTGCTCTCTGGGCAGGCGTTATGGACCACACTGCGGAGGTGGCAATATTCTAGTATACTGCTCTCTGGGCAGGCGTTATGGACCACACTACGGAGGTGGCAATATTCTAGTATACTGCTCTCTGGGCGGCGTTATGGACCACACTACGGAGGTGGAGGCTCTCTGGGCAGGCGTTATGGACCACAGTGGCAATATTCTAGTATACTGCTCTCTGGGCAGGCGTTATGGACCACACTACGGAGGTGGCAATATTCTAGTATACTGCTCTCTGGGCAGGCGTTATGGACCACACTACGGAGGTGGCAATATTCTAGTATACTGCTCTCTGGGCAGGCGTTATGGACCACACTACGGAGGTGGCAATATTCTAGTATACTGCTCTCTGGGCAGGCGTTATGGACCACACTACGGAGGTGGCAATATTCTAGTATACTGCTCTCTGGGCAGGCGTTATGGACCACACCACGGAGGTGGCAATGTTCTAGTATACTGCTCTCTGGGCAGGCGTTATGGACCACACACACGGAGGTGGCAATGTTCTAGTATACTGCTCTCTGGGCAGGCGTTATGGACCACACTACGGAGGTGGCAATATTCTAGTATACTGCTCTCTGGGCAGGCGTTATGGACCACACTCACGGAGGTGGCAATATTCTAGTATACTGCTCTCTGGGCAGGCGTTATGGACCACACCACGGAGGTGGCAATATTCTAGTATACTGCTCTCTGGGCAGGCGTTATGGACCACACCACGGAGGTGGCAATATTCTAGTATACTGCTCTCTGGGCAGGCGTTATGGACCACACCACGGAGGTGGCAATGTTCTAGTATACTGCTCTCTGGGCAGGCGTTATGGACCACACCACGGAGGTGGCAATGTTCTAGTATACTGCTCTCTGGGCAGGCGTTATGGACCACACCACGGAGGTGGCAATGTTCTAGTATACTGCTCTCTGGGCAGGCGTTATGGACCACACTCACGGAGGTGGCAATGTTCTAGTATACTGCTCTCTGGGCAGGCGTTATGGACCACACTACGGAGGTGGCAATGTTCTAGTATACTGCTCTCTGGGCGGGCGTTATGGACCACACCACGGAGGTGGCAATGTTCTAGTATACTGCTCTCTGGGCGGGTTATGGACCACACCACGGAGGTGGCAATGTTCTAGTATACTGCTCTCTGGGCAGGCGTTTATGGCGAGGTGGCAATGTTCTAGTATACTGCTCTCTGGGCGGCGTTATGGACCACACTACGGAGGTGGCAATATTCTAGTATACTGCTCTCTGGGCAGGCGTTATGGACCACACCACGGAGGTGGCAATATTCTAGTATACTGCTCTCTGGGCAGGGCGTTATGGACCACACCCGACGGAGGTGGCAATATTCTAGTATACTGCTCTCTGGGCGGGCGTTATGGACCACACCACGGAGGTGGCAATGTTCTAGTATACTGCTCTCTGGGCAGGTTATGGACCACACCGCGGTGGCAATGTTCTAGTATACTGCTCTCTGGGCAGGCGTTATGGAACCACACCACGGAGGTGGCAATGTTCTATACTACTGCTCTGGGCAGGCGTTATGGACCACACTACGGAGGTGGCAATGTTCTAGTACACTGCTCTCTGGGCAGGCGTTATGGACCACACCACGGAGGTGGCAATATTCTAGTATACTGCTCTCTGGGCAGGCGTTATGGACCACACCACGGAGGTGGCAATGTTCTAGTATACTGCTCTCTGGGCAGGCGTTATGGACCACACTACGGAGGTGGCAATGTTCTAGTATACTGCTCTCTGGGCAGGCGTTATGGACCACACTACGGAGGTGGCAATGTTCTAGTATACTGCTCTCTGGGCAGGCGTTATGGACCACACTACGGAGGTGGCAATATTCTAGTATACTGCTCTCTGGGCAGGCGTTATGGACCACACTACGGAGGTGGCAATATTCTAGTATACTGCTCTCTGGGCAGGCGTTATGGACCACACTACGGAGGTGGCAATGTTCTAGTATACTGAAAATGTCTTATTTCTTCCAATAAGGCTCAAGGTGCTGTGTATCTCGGACTAAAAGTGTAGTGGAGGTAATCCTCTGGTCTCGTAATACCACACAACTTATTTTCTTTCTCCTAAATCAAAATATTTTAAGACAAATAAAAAACCAAACATAAAAATTTGGAGCAAATCTTGATTAACAAAATAGATCAACAAAAAATAACTGCATACATGATACAATGTAATTAAAAACAATATTCATCTAGCACGTAACCATGCCTATGTGTCGAAACCCACTAATCACCTCAGCCTTATACAGACCTCAACTACTGGACCTACTGTTTGTGATAGTAATCACACGATTTGTTCATCTACGACACGTTTGAATCGCAAACGTCTCTAAAACTACAAATTAACTCATTTCAGTGTCAATTTCATTCAATATTTGGAAGAATAGGATTGCCATCAAGCAAGAGCAATCTCAAATTTCAGATACACTTTTCTGCAAAAATGCATATCAACAATGCAAATAAACAAATTGTAAACAAAATATCAAACTTCAAAAAGGATCGCGCTCAGTTCAGATTTCAACTAACAAAATAAACATGCAAAACCAACAAATTTGTATTCACACTCACCACCCAAACATATCATACATACAAACTTCAAATGAAAGACATGAAACCTTCCAACAACTGCATAAATCAATCAAATAGAAAACCAGCTCAAAGCATACGAAATCTGCACATCCAAACTTCACCCTGATTGATAACCTCAGCAGCATGAATGAACATTTAAGATATTCCACACAAAACTTTAATAAATTGCATTGACAAACCTAAACATAATCATACAGATATCGTGACAATCTACCCTGTTTGAAAACACTTTGTATATGTCAAAAGCATACTCCACACATTCAGTTTATATGTTTACAGTAAACAAGGACAACAGATTGAGCACCCATTTATGATTAGCGTCCAAAACGTATTAACTTCCGAGGATATTTGTGGCTTCAGCAAAAATGAAATCACAGAAAGGCAGTGTCCAGCACAGCACGCCATCACACTTTCTTCCAGCACAGCACACAGGACTCGTCCATCACCTCTTCTTTTTAATTTTGGACTGAGCTTGTTTCAGAAGCTGGTCGAAGTCCAGAGGCCCCTCGCTGGGCAAGGGCGTAAACTCCTCAATGGCTTCTGCTTTGCCATCTGGAATAGTTTAAATACTGCATAAACTCAATTCAAACAAGTTAACAAAAACAATATTTGGTGCAGCTGCAGCGTATTGTCAACAATGGACCAAGAGGCTTATCAACAGACCATTTCAGCAAGCTTTTGAACAGGAACAGGATACTGAAGTTGAAGGTCAGATTTTGGTCGAATGACAAAATTTGGCAGTAGTTGGTGCAATGTTCAAACATTTCAGCCCTTCAGGCCTACACCATAGAAGTTTCTAGCTTCAACTACTGTGACAACACACTGTACTTATCATAACCTACATGAACATCTCGTTCTGGTTGGCTGAGAATGTTCAAATCTTGAAAATATGGATAAATATATGACACTGAGTAGCAATTACGTATTGGTAATATAAAGCACTCATTGCAAAAAACACTTGAGCCACTAGTCTACCTTCTGTCCCCCCTAAAACAAGATAACACTGCGTGACACTTACCTAGATCAGCATAATCTGTATCACAGAACTGGCGCCTCCCGCCAAAGCACAAGTCAAACGGCTTCTCTCCAGGAATCATATTGCCTTCTGCAACACAAACAAAATATTCAGAATCTGTGTTTAGTTCAGTGAATGATGGGGTTAGAGTGGAAATATACCAGGGAACAACACCAGACCTGAAACCGCCAGTTTAAACGTATTCTTGTATTCTCCCACTGACTATAATTAAAGTTAAAACGGATTGACTCATGTTAGAAATCAGAAATCTGTGGACTAACTTAATTACACCATGTAAATATAATGTGATGTCATTGTATGTTTTGTTCTATGATATGGTTTGTAAATCGATTATGTGAAGTTTTCAATATCTTTATGTACCTATCATAATAATCTGTGACAATGAATTCATACACAAATCTCAAACAACGTACGTTCTATTGCAGCATAAGCATCACAAGTGTAGTTGAAGGTCACAAATCCGTAATTGTCACTGAAAGAACCAGAAAAGAAGTGAATATATCATCCAGAACATAGCAGTTCAACGCTGCTCTAAATAGTATAAGATTTCAAACAAAGTGAAACAGTTCTGAGATGTTACAAAGTAAATTAAGCTGGCTGGTTTGTTCTTTAACACCACACACAGAGCAACATTCCAGCAACATAACGGTAGTGTGTAAATAATCGAGTCTGGACCAGACAATCCAGTGATCAACAGCATGAGCATTGACCTACACAATTGGAATACGATGACATGTGTCAACCAAGTTGGCGAGCGTGTCCGCCTATCCCATTAGTCGCCTCTTACGACAATCATGGGTTACTGAAGACCAATTCTAACCCGGATCTTTATGGGTCAAGTAAATGAAGTGATGGTACACTTACCCATACTCCCTGAAGTGGACACTGACATCCTCGATATCCCCGAACCTCCCAAACCTCTTCCTCAGTTCCCTCCTTGTGTAGCCTTCGGGTATCTTCCCCACATACACAATCCGCCTCTCCTCCTGTACAGCAATAACAATGGGGGTCAAATGTGAAACTTTTAACCCATAGTATGTATTTTCAAACTTGTCAAAAAATGACAAAGGGATAAAAAAAAATCACTCAAATGATGGCCCAGAACAGAATGTCAGCCAGAGAATCTATTCACCAAACAGATCATTAACACTTTATCAGACGCAATGGCTGTAGACAATTTCCAGGTGTTCTGTGATGTAGTTTGAAAAATCTACTCGACCAATGATTGTTGCGTTATGCCAAATACAGCCAAATTCCAGTCAGTGAGGCAGTGGCTGGCAAATAATTGTGGACCAGATACAGAGTCCTGTATTTAATGTGAAAAAATGATCCACTAGAGCACAAAGACATGCTTCCAGTCAAAAGGTCACTGCATCTGACCAAGTGATCAGTTTGGTCAGAACTGGTTGCTAGGCACATGGAATTCCCACAAGGTAGTTGACCTATAAATAGAAAGGCAGCAGGGAAAGCTGGTAGACTAATTCCTATCAATTTTCCAACACAGAAACACTTACAATCTGCCTATTCTTCTCTTCTTCCCTCTTGCTCTGACGTGCCATGCGTCTTCTCTCAAATGACCTTGACCGTGACCGAGACCTGCAAGAAGGGAAATGCACACACTGTCTTTCTAGATTAACCAGACAAAATATCAAACTGCAGACAAACAGAAGACATTTACAAGATTCAATATAGTTATTTATTCATCTCATCTCTCAATCAGTATTACCTTGCCCAACTGCTATTTCGGCAGCGAGACCTTGAGTGTGAACGGCGACGAGATCGGGAACGGGACCTGTATGACCGATAAGAATGTGACCTTGGTCTTGACCTTGACCTAGACCTAGAACGTGAATATGACCTGGACCTTGATCTGGACCTAGACGTGGACTTGGATCTAGACCGTGACCTGTCATAAGAAATCCTAAAGTCAGAATATATTCCCTCCTAAATGTCCGAACAAAAACAGCATTTTACTTTTAAATTGAGCAAATGTTTAATCATGTCTATGAAACAGAAATTACAATGGTTATATCTCCAACTTATCATGCTTATGGAATCACTGGATACGAAAAAGCATCCAATACCTGCTAGAATTACTTGAAGATCGAGATGCTGATGAATAAGAATGCCTTCGACGACTTGAACGATGTCTTGACCTTGATCTTGAATATGACCTGACCTTGATCTAGATTGTGACCTTGACCTAGAGCGAGACCTAGATGAGCTCTGCTTCCTGGGTTTTTTGGCACATGGGTAAGCATCCAAGTCCTCCAAGTCATAAGTCTCATGTTCATCCTGGTCGTAGCGAGTACTGTTCGTAAAACAACTGTAATAAGCAGGGAGTTTGTCAAAAACACCAGGTTCATTTCTTGATGGTGACGAGTCCCTAGCTATGAAGTCCTCCCTTCGAATGCCACTCTGTTGATCAGACTGCTTATCCTTCTTTGGTGGTTTGACAGGCTTTGATAACGTTGTGAAATATGCAGGAATTTTGTCGAAATACCGATCAGAATCAGGACCTGGGCTTCCACGTTTTCTATAATTTTTTTCTTGACCTGTCACTTGTTTTGAACTCATTTTGTCTATTCTTTATTCCAGTGTTGGAATCTTTACTATGTTCTGTTGGGATGGCTATGGGGCTTTCAGGCACTTCCCCATCCTCCAACTCAACTGACTGACTCAAGACAACATCGCTGTTTAATTCTCCCGTGTCCCCAGCATCAATAACCACCTCATTCACATGTTCATCCACATTCACTATGATGTCGGGGGAGACGTAGCCACTAGACTGGGAGTCGAACTTGTCAAGGTCGACCTTGTCTTGTTTAGGAGACACTATAGGAGAGTTCACGCAGTAATCATGATCAAATATATGGTCAAAGTAGTCACTGTTGACGTCAGGTTTCGGTGAAGCAGAACCCAACGGTATGTCTGACACCACCTGAGAGGTAGTTACATTGTTATTCAGTTCAGCCTGGGAGGCTAAATTTGGCTTTTGTCCCGGCGACTGGCCTTTCAGTTTGGATGGGAGTAGGGTTGGAAGCATGATGGCTAGTTTACGTTTCCTCTTGGCCCGGATTCTGGCCAGGACCTCTGGAGGTGGTGTGGCTGGTGGGGTAATAGCTGCAACAAGAACATAACAGAATAAACAAAACTACCCACACAAAGTGAAGGGAGTACGGTTTTACACCACCTTTAGATACATTTTATCAATATCAATGCTGGGAACAGAAGAAATAGGCTTCTAACAATGTTTTCATGAGCAAATATCTTTCAATACAAGTGGTTCACACTACCATATTTGAAAAGTAACTGTAACCATGGTAACCAGAGATTCACAAACCACCACTAACCTGGACTGTTGCATTCTTTTGCTTTAATCTGGGCAGGTTTTCTAGAAAAGAATAAAACAAACGGTTAAACTGAAACCAACATTAACACACCCAGGCATCTAGACACACGTGACTGAACGCCATGGCAGTCTTTGGCCTTAACACAGAAACAGGTTTTCTCATCACCGCAGGTAAACAGCACTACATCTACGCTTAGGTTTCCTGTATTAAACATAATAACTTAATCCAGTAATATTAAAGAGAAATAATTCCATCAACCCATCTTTGATTATCCAGTATCTCTATTCCATGACCATATCAACCCTAGAGCTTTGTTAGATAGGTGAGGTCACCATCTTGCCTGTATCTTAGTTCACACAGGATTTGTCCAAATCATTGGTAAATCAGTTGAAGAGCTACTTCTAGAGTCTTGGACAACATATCAACTTATCACAGTTTGCATATCTGCTTGTGACTTTGATTTCCAATCCAGGGCCCTGTTCCTAAAAGTGATCGCAGCACTACAACAGTCAAAAGTCTATATTAAAATAGGGGAGTTCCGATCTTCTTAGCGCTACGATCGCTTTGAGGAGTGAGTGAGTTAAGATTTTAAGTCACATCGGCAATATTTCAGTCATATCGTGACCGCTTAGAGGAAGGAGGCCCAGGTACTCAAACATCTGCGATCGCATAAACTGGTAGATGTACAGCGTCAGGGTGAGAGCAGCGAAACTCTCACACCTCCATCACTGACGACGGCAACCAGATAGCACATTGCACATACCCCATTCTCTTGAGTTTCAAAGCTATACCAGTTTTATAAGCACACAACTATAATCAATGACTTACGCTTTGATAACTGGTGGCGTCGGTTCTGGTTCAGGTTCAGCTTCTGGGGGTTGCTGTACCATCTAATGACTGTGATGCTGAACACAAAAAACAATGATTAGAAACTACTGATGTCACCACACACAAGTTAAAAATATTTTCCAGAACCAAGCAGTTGTCGACTCATATCAGACATCAATGAAACTAAACTTTCTTTAGTAATAGTTAAAAACCAGTTATTTTTTCCAACAATATATTTTTGTGTATAAAATCTTGGATACACAAAGGAAACGGTTACTGTCCCAAAATTCTGTGTTAGCCAGAAGGGGCACTTAAAAACACAAACACTGGCCTAGAAGTTGGCCAGTGGAGATCCTAACAGACCAGGGCCTAGATTTCCGAAGCTCTCTTATCGCTAAAATAGTTGTATGTGCCATACATCTACATTAACTTACGACTATCTGAGCTCTTAAGCGGCCTTCACTCACTCACCACCAATACCAATTTCAGTGTTGTAAAGCTGTTGTCGAGAAATAGGATTGGTCTCTCTTCTCACTAACTTTTCCCTCAAACTTTTGTTTGATGTGTGAAGTATTGTCAAACTCGTGTTGTTCAGAAACAACATGTCACAGCCAACGAAATTGTCACGTGACCGCACCAATAGAGACATGGCACTCAAATGACAAAAAAGTTTGACAACATGTATTTGACATGTGAAAACACAGATTTGACAACTTTTAAAATTTTAACGTATTGTCAAACTTCATTTTGCCGTGTGAAGGCTGCTTAAGAGAGCTTAGAAAATCTAGGCCCAGGGCTCTTAATACAGGGAATACAGTAACATGAGTATTAGTGGGTGAGCAAGCATTGCTCATTGCCTCAGCAATTTGCAGCTATTCGCAGTTACATATACTACGGTAAAGGACAAGGACAACCAGATTCATTCACACGACATTAACTACAGTAATTGAGATGTCTTTACTTGTTTGGAGCAGTATATATCACGATAGAATCATCAACTGACGTGCAACATACCTTCTTCAAACTGGGTCAGTAAGCTGGACAGATCTTCAGCTTCAATACCTGCAACAGAATGTAAGTCCATGTGTTCAACTGCCGATAACCTTAACAAGCATGTAGGTTAGCTGGAATGGTGCTTTGAGGTTTGGTTCACAATTATTGCACTTGCACCCGTGCATATCATGCATATAGTTTTGTGCATGTATATGTGAGTATTGTGAGTGGCTGACTGTACTGGCCTGAACTAATGCCACTTTATCATGCTTGGTCACAGAAATGCCATGATGCAGTCTAATATCTAATATGAATAACTCTCACAGTTTCCAAGATGACCAAACCTTGATTAATTCCCTACATGCAAGCACAAGGAAACAACAAATACTATCATACTGTTGTCAGACTTAATTTGTTTGGGTCTCATACATTTTTGGACCACAATAACCAGGGAAGATACATCACACAGACACTGCAAATACTCGGCTGATGGCTTGTGTTCAAGAAAGTGGTGTTTAATATGTTACTGACATGTAAGTATTGTTACCAATTGGTCACACGAAACTAAAAACAAAAATAAAAGATGTCCAAGATGAAAGACACTAAATGCCACTGAAAGACAAAAATAAAAGATGTTTTTAAACATTCAGAAACCCACAACACAAGACTATCCACTAACTTCTTTTCGGCTAACAACCCCAGGGATGGGAGAACTGGCTTGACAAGACTAAACACTAAGCCATTGAAGACTACACCACACAAACAAGTATATCAGAAAAGGGTCTATCACTGGTTTCACAAGCAAATGATCGAGACAGTCAGGTGATCTTGTTAAGTTTAAGATGAATTTGAGGGGTCAGCACTCCACATCTCAGCACCTTCAAAGACCCAGTATCCTTGAATATGACACTGTTTTCCCAACAGTCAAGCCCGAGTGATCACAGTTGTTTAACACCACTATTTGCAACCTGTCACACAACAGCAGCCTGTATAATCAATCCTTGACGAGATTAGCCAACCATCAATCCTAGACTAGCCATTGATCAATATCACAGACAACATTAGAGTGCTGGGACACATTATCAACAAAGTTACACTGACGCCCGGACCAGTAGAGGTGAGGCGTGTTGTTTAAAGCCACATTCAGCAATATTCCAGCCATATAGCAGCGGTCAGTTAATAATTGAGGGCTGATTCCAATACAGTGATCAACAGCATGAGCATCGTTCTAATTGGGATACGATGACATGTGTCAACAAAGTCAGCGATTCTGACCACCCGAACCTGTTAGTCGCCCCTAAAGACAAGCATGGGTTACTGTCCATTCTAACACTGATCTTCTTGGGTAGAGATGTTGCAAGGGAGCAGTTCTCAACCACCATCCCTACAAAGCACCAAGTGTACTAATAACTCTTACCTAGAGAGGGGATGTCAAAAGCTGAGCTGTTTGAGTCTTCAGAGAAAGGTAGATCTAACCCAAACAAGGCCTCAGCAGTGTCGGTCATCTGTTCAATGAGGGAAGCAATGACATCATGAATGACACAATGAAACTTCACAACTTAACCAAGACAAGTGCTGGGAATTGGTCAAAATCTCATAATTGATGACTGGTTCATTACAACCGATCAATCATCGAAAATAATTGGTTAGCGTCATTTATGAAATTTTCCTGATTATTTTTGTTAATGGACAAACAAAACAAAGAAAAAAAACTGTAGTTCTTTGGTGTTTTTGCAAATTGCACAAAATGCATTGGCAAATTTCATATCTTTAAAGGATGACTAGTAGGTTAGGAACATTAATTTCTTGGAGTCTTGAAGATAAATTCAGTCATGACTTGGAACGAGCTTGTAGTGGTCATGAAATGTAACAGACAAAACCAACCATGTGAAAAATATTGTTAATGCAAACAAGTGTTCCAGAATTGTTTGTGTTCGATTATGAGAAAACATGATCGATTGCTTGGTCGTTTAGTCACTGCGACCAATCCTCGATTATTTCAATTAATCAGACCACCACTAACCAAGACAATTAACAAAACCCAAAATTATAAGATAACAAATGCCATTCTTCAGGTTTGAACCTATTTAACAAGATCACACCCAATAATAAAGGGCACCACATATCTTATGTCAAGAATTGTCACTTAGACAAATATAACCGTACAACAGCTTTCTATATAAACTATCATTTGTCGTAAGTGAATACAGTCACTTCAGTCCAATGTATGCATAGCTTTGCAAATATCAGAACACAAAGAGCCAAACACAAAGCACTGTACAGTGTTGTAGGAGGCCAAAATATAGCCTCCAGTCAATTATGATATCCTGTTGAAATATACAGCATATTTCAAAAGATCATTCAGGAAGTGAGTGAATATGGTTTTACGCAGCTTTTAGCAATATTCCAGTAAAATCACGGCAGGGGACACCAGAAATGGGCTTCACACATTGTACCCATGTGGAAAATCAAACCCCATCTTCGGCGTAACAAGCCAATGCTTTAACCACTAGGCTAACACCCCCCCCGATCATTCAGAACCCGATCATTCAGAAAGAAACACAATCTACCGTCTTAAAATATGAACATCACATCTGTTGAACGTGTTAAATAATTACATTTTCTAGAATTATTTGTTCAGAAGCACACATACCATATTTTCAACCAGGGAGTATACTGAGAACGACCTGGCGTCCTGGAACGGAATAACAACACTGATGACACAATAGGATAAACATCAATACACAGCAACAGCAGTCGACAACAGCAGCTTCGGACGACTTGCTCGCATGATGCTGTACACAGCTGTTCGGGTATGCATAGAATTACACATTTGTGAATAATACAGAAAATGTTGAAGCTGTCTATATTTTTTTTAACAATGTTTAGATCTTTTTTCAGTTTCACCAATATTCCAGCCACCTGTAAATCTAAAATGCACTAGAGAATCCTGTCTTTGACACGGCAGCAATACATGACTTTGGGGTGTAAAATACAATGAACCATTTCATTGTCTCTCATGACAATCTGAGGTCACTGGGGACCACCTTACTGGGGTACTGGAAACCGACATATTTTTTGGGGCCTAACTGCTCAACAAGAAACAATGGGCTCTTTGATACATTTTTTGGTCTCAAACACTGACCTGTGCCTGAAACAATATTAGAAAATTCAATTACTTTTAATGTTCATGAAGGTTGGTTGTTGTTTAACACTGCACTCAGCAGTATTCCAGCTATGTGGCGGGTGGTGGTCTGTAAATAATCGGGTCTGGACCAGACAATCCACTGATCAACAGCATGGGCATCGACCTACACAGTTGATGTGTCAACGACCCTGACCACCCGATCTCGTTAGTCGCCTCTCATGACAAGCATGGGTTGCTGAAGACCAATTCTATCCCGGACCTTCATCGGTCTATTGTTCATGTAATACAGTGTAGAATTGCTGAGCATGGTAGAATGACAGCTGGACTTTTCACGTCACTCAGCATTATACCAGCATCATGACAGCGGCCTGTAAATAACCGAGTATGGACCAGGCAATCCAGTTATTGATACAACGAGCAACAACCTCTACCGTAAAGTAAATACAACATGCCATCAGCCAAGTCACCAGGCTGGATGAAAAACTAGCCTTAAATTTGTTTCACATTATATTGTGAAATAAGATATGTATTGTGTTAATGTTATACTTCAGTGTGTCAGGAACTATTCCACATAACATCTGTATTATTACTGTTTACAGTAGAATTAGAAGAAAGACCTGTTTGGAGAATTGATCATGGCTATGAATAATTTCCAGCAAACCTGTTGAGGTAACTGAACATGTACCTCACTCAGTCAGGCCTGGACTAAATAGGCAATGTTTATTCATGTCACACAATCATCTGGCTTGGTTGTAAGTATATACTAGAACTTACTTTCCACACTACTAATTTTCACCGTTGGTGCATCTGTGAAGGAAGTATAATATACTGAAGTTGCACACTCAAAACTAAGGGTAAGAGTTGCTTACGTACCCCTCACCTAATTTTCAACAATAAACTATAACTAAACATTACAGTTTGCTCACCACAAAAATAGGCAGGGGGTACGTAAGGAACTCTTTCCAAACTAAGATCTGGATTGCACAGTTCTGCACCAGGCTAATGTTTTGCACTTCACATTTCAATAGCCACGCAATGACATTCTAGCATGGTCTACGAACTTGGTAATGCAAGTATAGACCCTGCAGCTGTTGAGAACTTAGCCAGTCACACAGTCAAGACATATACGGACTAAGATCAAACATGTCAAGCTGTGACTGAAGTCATGGTTTCAAATTTATTCATTTTCCACGATACCTGAGTGTCATCTAAAATGTTACATACATCCCGCTACTCACTATAATCGATATAAAGGTAGGTAATTTCGAAACGTGATCATATCAGGAATGTCATCTTGGCCTTGACAGTTGTCTACAGAAAATTTAATCAAATCCTACTCAGCTCACAGAAGCACAAGGTTCTGGGAACTTGCTCGGTCTGTCTTTGATTTGTTCTAATGTTGATGGGGTCTAGTTCTATATCATGAACACAAACACTTACCTTATTGTTTAATTTTCTTGGAGAAAGTAGGTGAAAGTATACCTCAAACTCTGAAAGAGGAAGGAAATCTTCAACATTATATATCCTTATCAATCCTCATGGCTGAGAACAAGCATAGGAAAACTGATGATTCCAGGTACAACATTGGTACACAAGAAGAAAACACGAAAGCAGCCCATAACTATACCAGCTGTTGGCCTTCAACTCAAGAAAATGCATTAAACGTATTCATTAAGTATGTACACAAGTGATTAAGATGGAGTTCGAACCACATGACGAATAGATGTGGACACTATATTCTGAGGTGTACTCCCCTGTTTAAGGTGTGCATCAATACAGAGATGCAGGCATGGGTTGACAAATATGGGGGGGGGGGGGCATGGTCAGTGTTACCTGATGAATTTGCTTCAAGTAACTGACTGGTGGCAAGTGTTTTATTTTTTTTAAGCCCAAACTATGTATTTTCTTTCATGAATGTTCTCACAAGTAAACTTTCCAGTGCAACTTGGCATCTTCATTACAAGCATATATACTTTCGTAAATATGTAATAACTATTCAAGCTTACACTGAAGATTAATCTTTATTCAAACATGAACATGATGTAAGGTCTGGTCAAACAATATATCATTTGACTGACTCAAAGTCTGTCGCCCTATCATGATTTAACCAGCCCAGTAACATACTACCAGCATCTTAAAACAAAACTAACAAGCAAACCCTGCTTAAAGCCATTGTCAGAAAACAATAAGTTTGAGGAAGCTAGCTGGTCTGATCTTCAGTCCCTGTAAGTCATTATGAAACAGATACAGTTTGCAATCTTTGGACTTGCATGAACATATATAATATTGACATGTGTTTTGCATTTATACAAAGGCAAATTTCATCTATAAAGGCAAACAGAAATATACCCTAGGATTCGTATGAACAGTCTGACCATGTCCACTGACTCGGTAGTACTGGAAACGGAACATCCTTATTCCTTGGCTATACGCCCTGCCTATAGTAGATTGGATTCTGTTAAGTGTCCGTCTCGGTAACAATAATTATTTTGTGAATCATAGGTTATAGAATATAATTTTCAACGCTTCTTACTCAACTTTCCATTCATTGAATCAATTTAGTCAAGAGAACATCATCGACCAGGAGGGCTACGATCAGACAAGTGCCAATCTGACTCCACGTGGTGTTGGTTAGCCGTAACATACCTGTTCTCACAGATAACACCACATTACGAATTATAGTTGTCAATTCCCCTTCCGGATACACAACCTATAATAGCCTACTGACTATTCAGGTTGTCATATTGTAAATAACTAGATCGCCTTTGACGCCAATCATACAGATCTAAAAGAGAACATCATTCTGCACGTGGCATGCCCGTGCTCGCGTGTTTACAATCATCTGTGTCCTCATGACAAGTGTCTGAGAAATTAAACCAGTCATCAAACATACACAGTACCATATGTAACTATGTAAAAATCAAATGGAAAATTTTCTGGCCACCACATGTCCAGTCAATACGCAATTTATCAAGAAAATATGTACCACAGCTCCTCCACCCCGAACCTTCCGTCGGCCATGAGCTGATGATGTGACGTCACACGTTCCAGTCTCGCGATATATCGTGACCAAATACGTGATCTCTAATGGATACGGAACGACGCCGAATGGAGTTGGATAGCCTTCCGCATGAGCGCTCGTTAATTAGCGAAAGGAGAATTTGCGTTTAAAAACCATCTTATTCTTTTAAACCCAAAGACCCCAGACAGTAAAATAGGATAAGTACTACGGCAGTAAAAAACAATAAAGAATGATGGAAAGAAAAACAACACTGAACTATATTTAGTGGAAGGTGGTACAGTTGTGATGCGGTCAAATGTCAACATTGACAGCATGTGGTTCAGATAGCTGATTTGGCCATCGATTTCTTGATCAATGAAACGCTTAACGCACAAATACCCCTAAATGTCGCGTGAGGTATATTTCTATGAGATTCTTTGCGTGCGATCACTCGACTGTCATGGATCGTGTAATTTTCTTTGTAGTGATTGCTAAGTAAATCAACTTGTTGCAAGAACTGCTCTGTTCGATAGCAACTTTTGTGGTAAGGTAAAGGAATATTACTCGTTATATTTTCACAATGGAAATGGCACTACCCTCACTGTCAACTCCGAGGTACCCAGTTGTTCCCAGACGATACGAGGACACACGACCCGTGGTTGTTCAAGATTTTACTCATAAAAGGATCTTGGGTAAGTGAAAACGGATGTCTGTTTCCACTAAACGCGCACTATAAAACGGGATATCAGAAAAACTTCTTTGGATGAAACAGCACTGCTTTCTCGAGAACAGCTACTTAAGGTCCATCAAAAACTGCATCTAACATATATAACTTAGAATGATTAATATTGTGTTCAATGGTCGATATGATTATCTAACAAAAACACTGGCATGAGTTTGACTCCTCAATTTGTTTTACCTTTATATTTTCAAAAGTTAACGTGTCAGGACTAAACAGTTATGGTTAATATTTATCAGCCCATATCATAACGTGTTCACAGCCTCACTATCAAAGGTGTGGCCGAACAACCAACCACTTTAACTGTTTTTTCTGAGCCATTTCTGAAATATTCCATGTATGAAGTTTACTGTACCGATAACTTTCATTTGTTTCAAAATATGAGCAGATGTTCTTATTTCTGTTTTAGAAAATGTTTGGATAGATATTTGTCATGATTTGTTGAGGAGGGATGAACAGAAGTTGATTAAAAAACTTTTCGTGGACAAACTGTTCAAGTATCTAAACATCACTCTAATAATTTATTCATTAAAATAAGTACAGAATCTTTTTGTTTTCATACAACTGAGATAAACATATTCACAAAGTTTGATCAACACATGTTTATCCAAAAGAATACATACTATGTAATTTTCTAGGGGTTAGCATTCCTTTTGGGCAAAATAGTTGGGGAAGAAATGACAAAGGTAGTGAGCAATGACATTTCTAACTAAGCGTCAGCATGTATTTGGATTTCTGTGAATTAGTCAAGTGACACATGTTTTCTAACATTGCATTCACACGATTGTGTGTGTTTTAATATTTTCTGACACTGTCTGTTTTGTTCAGCATTTTCAGTTAAGTATTTCCTTCTAATGAGAACAAGCAAAATCAATCAGAGATGCAGTCAGTTAATTGCTATAATGGGGCTTGTTAACAATTAGTCGTCCATGATAAAAGCTCGGGGGTCAGTTGTGGTAAGGCACAAATTATTTTTACTTGATGATTCATCATCGATATATTCATATAAAGGGCAGTTTAGAAGTCCCTGTGTTTGCTAGTTCTGTACTTTGGCTGTGATATCAGATTGTTAGTGGTGAGGTCAAGCAAGAACATTATAACGTGAACATTGTGTGTCAGATGGCATAGATGACCATCCCATACACTGCATTTGTAGCTTTCAGTTTCTGTGGTAGACTGATGTGTATAGAATATGTGTCCTTTCATGTCTATCATCTCTTTTTACACTTGTTTATTGGTGTAGAAATCGTCTCATTATATATATTTTCCATTGAAAGTGATGGAACCATTGTGGGGGTTACATTTGGTATACCATTAGCTTTGAGACTTGTTGTACAAGGCATAGCAGTTCCACAGGTTGAAAATATTGTCAGTCTCCATCCTGAGGTCAGTTTGAGGCGATTTTTATTTTTGTGGAGGTCATCAGTAGTTGTAACTTCCCTTCTTTCATGCTCATTTCCTGAACTGTTAAATATCTTTAAGGTAAAATTTAAAGGTCACATGCAACCAAAAAATCAAACATAATTAAAACACAATTATCACTTCTTCATGACATATAATATGCATTGCTGATTATGAAAAAACAAATAAACAAAATTATAAGCGTACAATCGCAAATCAAAAGTGCAATATTTTGTACTTAGGTTTACCTCCCTCGAAACGAAGCAGCCGGGATACCGAACCCAGTCAGAGCGGGTGGGTGTGCACTCAAGTGTAACGGCTGGTTCATTAGCAGATGCCGCCGGCACATTGTGTGTGTATATATAGAGATGTTGGGTTTTGTAAATACATGCTCATTCTTTGTGTATAACATTTTGCAATCAACAGACATCAAAACATGTCATGTGTTCAAGTATCACACCTGCCTGTCTGTGTAATTACATAATATGACAGAGACCGAACTCGGGCCATAAATCAATGCGTTTTGTTTATGGTGTATAGCCTGATTGGTGTTAAGTTCAAATTGCATGTGGTCAGTGATCGCAGTTGTGTATTGAATATTGTCATTAGCAGACAGGCAGGCAGACACACAGGTGTCAATAAAACAAGACACTGAGTTTTGTCTGTGACAACGACATATCTATATCACAGTTAGAAATTCTGTCAACGCTAAATAATGACATTGCTTTTAAATATCGAACTGAGAAAGTGACTCGGTAAGAAGAACGTGTGGTGAAATAGACAAATGAAATTATATAAACAGTTTATTTACCGTCATAACATATAAAAAGCTCGCGCCTGTGAGATATCAACAAAACATTAGAAAAATAGCTCACACCAAAGCCTTCACCGAGTATTCACCAGACAGCCCGCTTCCAAGTTGCGCGAACCTATTTCACTGCGCACGTGCTATGAGCGCAGCCCAGCTGTTGAAACCAGTATTCCCCAGAAAAGTCTGGGGAAAATTAGTGAAACGTTTGAACTCCGATTTCGCGCGTTTTTTTTCATCGCGTTATTTTTCAACTTTATAAGTTGAATTTGCATTTTTGACGATTTGTTTCGGTAAGTCCATACCGAAAGGTATCAGAATCTGCAAAGTTGTGTTTTACGTTGCATGTGACCTTTAAACTTTTGTCAAAATTGATTTAAATGAAAAAAAAAATAAATCAGTTTTGTATGTCATTAAGCATATACAAATATCGGGTTGTTCAAAATATGTATTGTTGGAATAAATTTAATTGTTTTAAATACACAATATTTGAAAAATAAAATTGGACTCCATGGCAATGTTACATCCGTATCATTTGCTCAGTTCTGAATGAAAAACGGCATTTAATATGTTAATGATTATCATTAGTAATGGGGGAAATTCATGGAATACGATTTCTATACTTCTGTAATATGAGCAAAATTGTGCATTGCCCGAGCAAGTCGTATATGTTGTATGACACACTTGTAATAATCTCTATATATTTACCTGTTAAGAGAAATCTGTTAGATAAAAAAGGCTTTAGTTTCCCCCGACATTTGAACTAAATTTGTTCGCTACAGTGGATCTCTGTAGACAAGTCTATTTTGTTTTTTACAGTTTTGACATTCCACCTATGTCCATTTTCTAAATGCCAGATACACGTTAAAAAAATGTGAAGTGAATGTTTCGAACATGCTTCCTGTGATCAATCTGTTAATATTTCTGTTTGTAAAATGCAGGATTTGGTCATGACATCCACCGCCGCCAAGTGGAACGTATTGAGCAGGAGAAGCTGCAGGCTATACGCCAGGCTGAGGAGGCAGTATGGCGGCAAGCCCAAGGCGGGCAGGAAGTTGCAGTCCAGCAGGCCAATAAACAGGCCAAGTTGGATCAAGAGAAAATAATTCGGAAAATGCTGAAGGAAATGGACAAAAAGTTGAAGGTAAGACTAACCTCGCCTTTCTGTTCTACTGGATTCTGTTCAAATTAGGTCTTTGAAGGGGTTTAGTAACCAATGGCTATAGTCCAGTCAAGTTGGCAACTAGTATTTATAACTCATCAGTAACATAAACACACAAACTGAATTTCAATTTCCCTTCAATTAATCATGACCCAACTCAGATATTCTGAACAGAGCTTGGGGTGTCAACTTTGCATTGCTCTGTTCTTTTGTTGGTGGAATAATGCATAGATGAAAAATATGACATCACAGCTGAAAATTAGTCCACACATGATGTAAAACCCCAGAAACATTGACATACTGGCCCAATACGTTGGGTTCAAGGCATTAAAACCCACTTTTTGGTCTGCTAGTTTTAATTAATTTTTTCACAATCTGGCAATTACTGCTGACCTACTTACACTGAGTTTGTTATTTCATGCATGTCTCAAAGTAATTGGCTCCATTAGACCTGGAAATGGATATAAGACCTTGAGGGCAGTCTACCCCTAAGGGAAGAGTACTTTTACTCCAATTAACAGAGCAGTGTACATTCATGCATGTCTTTTGTTATTGCCTTGAGGCCTCAAATTTTGTTGTGAGTGCTACTTGAACAAGACAGAAATGTTTTTACATTATAATTTTCTGTTGGTTTCCTTCAAACAAGTGGTTTCCTTCAGTTGTAGTTTGTAGCTTATAAATAAACTTCAAAATTCATTTCTCTGCTAGTCTGAGACTATAAAATCATGCTGAGATAAAACCCAATGATTTTGTCTTCACAGACTAGTAGTATTTGAAAGTTGAAATTCTCTATCTCTCGCACAGAAGTCTCGATCTAAGCTTGGATTGGATCGTAAGATCGGGACCTTCTACGATTGGCCTAAGATCGTTAGTGGAACGGGTGTAACTTGTAGCTAAGACGATTGTAAAATTAACGTAACTTGCTAAGACTGATCTTAGATAAGATCGGTTAGTGGAACCACACCCTGGTGTTTATGTCTGTGTTTCCTACATAACAACAAAATCTACTAAGACATTGTTTTCAAGTGAAGTAGAACTTACATCTGAATACTTAAACCTTTAACAACTTAAATGTGAAATATTGTACGACATAATAACAATTGATTTTTACCTCCATTGTTAATTCTTTTTTCAAACTATGAAACCTCCCTGATTTTTTTTGGGTTCTGTTTTTCAAAGTAGAATTTATAATTTTACTGCCTCCATGAATTAAATCCATGTTAGCAATTAAGAACACTAGCCTAGCATGAGGTTGATTAATTCGTCAAAGACTAGTGGGTTTGAGAAAGTCATATCTCCAGCAAGTTTGTGTTGGTTTGGGAGAATGTTTGACCTTCAGTGTGACATGAATGTCAGGGCTCGTGTTGTTGGTTTCTCTGATGTCATTATCATTCATCACACGCTGCTTTTAGTGCTGGTTGCGAACCACTGAATCACAACAACAACACACTGTACGACCTCCATAAGGTCCCAGTGACAGGAAAACATATTAAAAACCTGTGTGGCTTGTGGCTCAGTTGGCTTATGGCAAAAATTCAATGTTGATTCTGTTTTATGGAAAGTTCAGACCCTTTTGCTTAACAGTTACATTTTTGTTTGATGATTTGTAACCGTGACTCTTTGTCGTTTGAAATCCACTAAAGAGGAGAAATGAGAGATTTAGTTTAAGTGAGTGAGGAAGGTTTTAAGCCACTTTTAGCAATATTCCAGCAATATCACAGCAGCTGACACCAGAAATGGGCTTCACACATTGTACCCATGTGGGGAATCGAACCCGGGCCTTCAGCGTGACAAGCGAACACTTTAACCATAAGGCTACCCCACCACCCAAGATTTAGTTTAAACAATGCTTTGAATAGTATTTCAGTTATGTTTAATGGTGTCAGCTTAATATGGGACAGAAGCCGGATGTGATGAAAGTCTCAGATGTTTGCCATGTTGGTTAAATCCATGAACACTGGTACTACAGTGGTAGGATGTGGACAAACAAGAGACAATCTGTGTGGCCTGGGTGTCACATATTGCAGTATGTATCGTTTTATCGTTTGAAAGGCATATTGCACTATACAGGAAATAATCATGGTCAAAGAAAGTACTGAAAGTTGTTTGATGAGTTAAGTACCATCATTTTACACTGATTTGTTTTATTCCAATTCTTCAGAAAAGAATTATGAGCAATTACAATATGTGTCATTTCAATGAATACCATGCCAGTATTATACTGCAACCCTATGACAGATTTGAAACAAACTGAAGACAATTCAAACTTTTGATAATTGTTATGAATGTAATGTGAATCAAATCTAAAACCATTTTTTACTTGCAGGAAGAAGGCCTGAAGGTAGAAATGGCCATGCAGAAATTGGCGCTGGAACAAGTGAAGGAAGAACGTACCAAGGGAGAACTAGCCCTCAAAGAAGCAGTGAGTCTAGCGGAGAAGAAGGGGGATACAGATTGTCTCGCGGCTGTGGCTCGGGTTCGGACTGAGGAGAGGAAGATTGCTGAGGCAACAGTTGCCAGACTGAAGAGGTGAGGGATCTAGCTGGATAGGGAGTGACAGAGTTGTGTTCAACACCACCTGGGACAATGTTGCCATAATAGAGGTCTGGCATCCGTTTCATGAAGCAGCCATAGCACTACAACTATCATAACACTCATAGTTTAACACAGACTTACAACAGTCAGGGTGTTACGATCGCTGTATGGAACAGGGCGTTAGGCTTTGTCCCTTAGTGGTGCAATTATCTTAACTCCCATACTTGATCATACACGTATATTAATTGTAGGGCTAAGGTGACCCTAATGTTCATACTTACAAAGGTCTTAGTGCTAAGACTTTAAGTCCCATACTTTAACCCTTTCAACACCGCTGGCCGCTAAAGCGGCCACAACGTTTTGAGTCCCCAGACACCGGAGGCCGCTTAACCGGCCAGGCAGTAGTCACGTCAAAATGAGACATAATTTTAGGAACTTACCTGATTTATGATTCATATATTAAATCCATCACATTTCACAATGTCTGGAAACACTTATTAAATTTCAATTGATCATATATTATCGGCAGAATTAAAATTATAAACTATTTTTCACAATGTAATTGAAAACAACGATTCTCGGACACATGCGCCGGAGCGGGTCCACAATAACATTGTCAAAGAGCAAAGTAAGCGATGTTTCGAGGAAATGATTAAATAAATAGAATAAATGAATAAAATCAACAACAGCATTCATAAAAGTTGTCAAAGCGTACATATAAAATTACTTTTTCCATCTTTTTTGTGCGATCATGTAATGCAAGTCAAGTCACTGACAAGTGACATCTCGCTCTCGCCTCAATCTTCAGCTCGGACACGATGTTTAATGCGAAAATATATGCATGAAGCATTTTTGTCACAGGTCATAACCTAGCACGATCGTCAAAAAGTCCCATAATTTCACGTATATGTAGCGATTTCTTGCTTAATATGTTCAGAATAGCATTATTTTACCCAAAACTTTTCGTCCTAAATCTAAAAGTTTTCGTTTCACGAGGGCGGTATCCATTGCCGTAATATGATTGGCTGCCTTAGGTCACGTGTCTGATTTTGACCAATCCGTGTCCCCTTATAGCAGACTGTAGCGAAAGCGTCATTAGAAACCAATTTTTATCCAATAAAATCGCTTCTTACAACTGTGAAAATACTCGGCAAGGGTTCAGTGATGTTGTTGATGTTCAGAGCTTTGAGCGATACCGGCATCAAAGCGATTCAGCCTCCCATGTTATTCATACGAAGCTTCAAAGCGGAGGTATTTTCCGTTGTTATGTCATGTTACCGGCGAGGAAAGCCACAGATATCGGGGAAATAGGCGACCATACATATTATTTAAGAAATCTGTTTATAATAATTTTCTGATTATGTAAAAGTGAAAATATAAAAGAAAAAGGCGGGCATGTTATGACATGTCACAAATGGAAAAAAATAAAGCCTTTAGTTTTTTGCTTCTTTAGGTGGTTTTATCTGGACGTTATAAATGTAAGCTTGCATTTTCATTCAAAATAATTTTATTTAAGTTGTAGTTGTATTATTTGAATAATATGATAAAAATAAACTTCATATTTATCAACAGTAGGATTAGATCTTTTGAATGGTGTATGGGATGTAGTAGCAATAACGTTTTGCAAGCTTATAATTTCCTTCATAAACATAGGCTTCATCTATGACCTCAGAGTCTCTGGGAACTCGGTGTCATGGCAGTAAATACCTCTGGTTGACTGGTGTTGAAAGAGTTAAGATAGACTTACGACAGTTATAGTGCTAAGACAACATAGCTCCCATACTTTAAAGTTTAAGATAGACTTACGACAGTTATAGTGCTAAGACAACATAGCTCCCATACTTTAAAGTTTAAGATAGACTTACGACAGTTATAGTGCTAAGACAACATAGCTCCCATACTTTAAAGTTTAAGATAGACTTACGACAGTTATAGTGCTAAGACAACATAGCTCCCATACTTTAAAGTTTAAGATAGACTTACGACAGTTATAGTGCTAAGACAACATAGCTCCCATACTTTAAGATAGACTTACGACAGTTATAGTGCTAAGACAACATAGCTCCCATACTTTCAGATAGACTTACAACAGTTATAGTGCTAAGATATCTTTAAGATAGACTTACGACAGTCAGTGCTAGGATATCTTTAAGATTGACTTACGACAGTTACGACAGTCAGTGCTAAGATATCTTTTAAAATAAACTTATGACAGTCAGTGCTAAGATATCTTTTAAGATAAACTTACGACAGTCAGTGCTAAGATATCTTTAAGATAGACTTACGGCAGTCAGTGATAAGATATCTTTAGGATAGACTTACGACAGTCAGTGCTAAGATATCTTTAAGATAGACTTACGACAGTTATAGTGCTAAGATATCTTTAAGATAGACTTACGACAGTCAGTGCTAAGATATCTTTAAGATAGACTTACGACAGTCAGTGCTAAGATATCTTTAAGATAGACTTATGACAGTCAGTGCTAAGATATCTTTAAGATAGACTTACGACAGTCAGTGCTAAGATATCTTTAAGATAGACTTACGACAGTCAGTGCTAAGATATATTTAAGATAGACTTACGACAGTCAGTGCTAAGATATCTTTAAGATAGACTTACGACAGTCAGTGCTAAGATATCTTTAAGATAGACTTACGACAGTCAGTGCTAAGATATCTTTAAGATAGACTTACGACAGTCAGTGCTAAGATATCTTTAAGATAGACTTACGACAGTCAGTGCTAAGATATCTTTAAGATAGACTTACGACAGTCAGTGCTAAGATATCTTTAAGATAGACTTACAACAGTCAGTGCTAAGACAACCTTAAACACAAATATGTTGAGACAGATTTACAAATGTCGTAGCCCTAAGACAGTCGTAACTCTAAATCACTCACAACATTACTTTGGATGGTCAGACACTATGATGACATTGTAGATTAAGGCCTCTTTCAAAAGTGACCAGAAAGGATATACTGTTTTCTTGATGGACATAGCAGGATCACACAAAACCACAGCAGTGACAGGTCAAATTGTTCCATTCGTAAAAGGGAGAACTGTCCTTTCATCTGTACATTCATCCATCATGAGAAATGGTTCAGATTTCACCAGGAGCAATTATTAGGTTTAACTCCATGCTGTTTTAAAGACAGTACTGTTTGTATTAGGCCGACATTTACTTATTACCTCTTACAAATAAGATAATGTTCATTTAAAATTAAAATAAAAAATATATTTGAAAAAAACTAATTAACCCTGGAACAAACTAAACTCTCCAAATCATTCTGGACTCGAGTTGGATTCTCTTTATAAATTTATTCACTTGGAGATTGTTTATCATAATATAAGCCGTATCTGTTGGTGTCCACAGATGTTACTGCTGTTTTATATAGTAGCTGTACATTCATAAATTATATTTTAGTCCCTGACAAACACCCAAAATATTAAACCAGTTAAACAGTTTATGTAGTATAGTATAGACTGTTATTGTTACTATAGACAGTGGTATCAACAGTAGTATCTGTCGGTATCGACAGTGGGTGTTTGCCGGAGAGTGTATACCCAGATACGACTACAGCTACGTGAGTGTCACTTGACTCAACAGACCCAAAACAGACTATCTTCAAGCTCGATATATTTTATTGGACACTTAGATCTCACGTTGCCCGCTCACACAAAGCCTTGAGTACCTTCTGCCTGTCACCCTGAAGGACCATGACTTAGTTCCCCCATAGATCGGCACTGATCTGCTGAATACGACAATAGAAAGGTCATATGTCTTATTCAGACAAAGGTGATTTCAGGAGGACTGACAGCGAATAGTTCATGTCCACCTTATTTACAAGTCTTGTCGTAAATAACATCTCCGGTGTCTACAACTATGTTAAGTATCCTATCTTAGTGTTACGTTATAAGTCTGTGGGTTGAAAGTGAACAGTTTATCCTTATGTTAAGATCAGTTTCGACATTGAATTTGAGCCATTTGTTTTAAGGAAATGTATGATTGTTGGTTTGTAGCATGTGATACAAGTAGATATGTCGACATTTTTTACTGAGAAATTCTACAGAAAATGTGTCGGCATATAATCCAGAAGTCACAAAAGTTATGCTATGAAGTGATTGTGTAATGTTCAACTTAAGTGGAAAGTAGACATATTAGATATTGTGATTACACTTTCTTATTGTGTATTCAAGTTGATAGTTGAGCAATGCTCCGACAAGTGTTACATATAATCACCATAATGTGATCATCTGATAGACGCAGTGGTTATTGTCAGAATGGAAATTATTAAGTTATTGACTTTAACTGGCTGTGACATTATGATGCTCCTGTTTTCCCTCTCTGTGTCATCATTAAGGGTGACATTTAAGTGTGACATTATGATGTTCCTGTTTCCCCCTCTGTGTCATCATTAAGGGTGACATTTAAGTGTGACATTTGTGACATGCACTGACAGCACTGAGGGATTAAAAACCTTAATACAATTTGGACACATGCCAAATGTGAATAGTGAATAAAGATTATACTAAAGCCTGCAAACCATTGCCAAATTATCCCGATCCTTTGCCGCTGTTATAGCAACCACTGATAGTGGATTTAAAGATGTCTTGAACAGGTGACATAAAATATCAAATATAAACTGCCACTAGAGCTGACATGATTCACTTTCATATTCAGTGAATCAAACCGTTTCCAGTTATAAATTCATTTTGTTATCACGAATATCAAATATTTATGTTTTTTTAATAATATGCAGTGTTTTTTCTGGAATTTGGATGATATTTATAAAAATGAAATATGCAAAATGGAGTATTTGCTAGCCAGGCAACAAAATACTGAAGACATACCTTTTAGGAAAACATACAGTGTCTAAATGTTCATTCTCGAGTTGTTCGGAGACCGCTACTGAGAACTATTTTGGACTGGAGATGGCGCCGTATAAATCTGTTTATGATGATGATGAACACGGTGACGATGATGATGATGATGA